AATGAAGGGCACCGAAAGTTAGCCCCTATACTACCAAAATGACAAAATTGTGCAGCATGCTTGTAGCGCAAGGCATAGAAAGGAACAAGTTACAGGATATGTGCACATGCCACAGTGCACCCCTCTGTCTTTGTCCACTTGATGTTTTCAATTAGTTTTTCAGCAATTTTGATTGCATAATGGTATCCCATGCTTCCATACTAGTTTTTACTTTGATTTGATCTTATTGGAACTAATTAAAGTATTTAAAAGTTGTAAAAATATGGGATCCCAAATCTTGAAAGAGTTTTAAATGAGATTTTGAAATGTTTTATTATTATTTTAAAGTATGGCAATCATGGTTGGGGTAATCCGTTCGAGTTAGTCCCGTGATTACGCTAAAGTATTTTTTAAGTGTTTTGCTTTAGCCCTTTAGCACAAAGAGAAGCTCTTCATAGGTAAAACTGCTCTCCATCCAAGTCATGTCAGTGTGTAACTGTGGTTTTGAGTCTCTATAGCAACTATTCCTTTATTGCGAGTAGGTAAATGCTGTATGTTATAGATCCCAACTCTATCCAATTTGATAATTTTCTACTAATAAATGTTGAAAGATGGTTACTAGAGAATATTTTGAGTAATACTTCCCTTAAGGACTATGACAAAACTCAAATTATTTTTATCCTTTGGTATATTTGAAAATTTAGATGTAATTTCATTTTTCAAACATACTTTTGGATTGCACTTTGACTTTTCAACTTGCGGATAAAGGTTTTCATTAATTTTTGGATGTTGAATATCTAAAGGAAATTTCTAACACTATACTCATTCAACCAACTCATTGGGTCCCTCCTTCTCAAGGACAATTCAAAATTAATATAGATGGCTCTTTCATGCCGAATCTAGGATCTATTAGGGTTGGAACCATCTCTCAATACTTTGATGGAAGTTGGCTTGAGGGATGGGTTGTTATTGTGAAAGTTAGAACCCCTTAGAGACGAAAGCTATAGCCATTAAGAAGACACTTGAAGTTGTAGTTGTTGCTGTCCTAATGGATATAATAATTGAGACTGATAATCTTGTTGCTTTTCAAACCATTTCTTCAATGAATCTTTAGGAATGTGGGTGGCGAAGTGCTCAAGTTCTAATGGATGTTTTAGATATAAAAAGAAGGATGAGTTGGTATCTTTCTCCTCCATCTAAAGATATAGCAATAGAGTTGCAGATCTTCTAGTAGCCATTATTGCTTCAAAGATGATTATTGTAAAAAAATTTGTTATTTATCTTTCAAAATGCACCCGGATAAAGATTCTAAAAAAAAAACATTGTAATTAAATTTCAATCTATAAAAAAAGAATTTTATTTCTTTTTTCTTTTTGCCAATAAACAAAGCTTTCATTGAAACTAAAATAAGCACAATGTGTAAGTAACAGGAGTTAGCTAACGCCTTCACATGGGTTACAAAATTTTTTATTCCAAAATATTTTACTATGCAAATTAAGATATAGCTAACAACTTGCTCTATTTTATAGTTTGTTTGCTATGTATACTAAAAGGTTGAACAAAACATTTTATTCTAGAATGTATCACCTCGTACAGCTCTTATGCTAAAGGTTTTTTTTGTTTTTTGTTTTGTTTTGTTTTTAGTGAAATGGGAATTATCGTAGAGTTCCGTGAACAAAAAATGCATGTTCCGTATTTCCCATAGTTTCCCACATAAGATAACAAGACAACGCGTATAGACAAATCTTTCATTTTCTTTTTCAACTCATGAGCAATATAGTAATTAATTAAAATAAATTGAGATTAATAAACTAAAGTTAGAATAAAGTCAAGGACTTTTACTGGATTTATATTTGAATACTTTTTGAAAAAATAAGTTTGACAAACAGAAATTTGCTTGAATGAAAAAATTTTAAAATAAATTTAGATGTATAATGGTCAAAAAGGACATAAATTTTATGATAAATAGTTTTGTTTTAATTTGATCTTTTTAAGAAAAATATTAAATTTAATATACAATTTTAAAAATATTCTATATATAATTAAGTATTATTAGCAAACTAAAAAAATGTCAAATAAATTGATAAAATATTAAATATTAAATTCTAAAAAAGCTAAAATAATTGATAAATTATAAAATATTAAATTCTAATTTTTTAAATAAATTGATAATGTTATATGAATAATTGTGCCCCTGTGATTTACAAGTAAACCAAAAGCCTAAAAATCAAAAGAGCTCTTTCTTTCAGCCGCAATTTAAATGGGCCTCCGGACAAAAAGTTATTTCAGGAATTTTTCATCCAAAAATATTCCTGATTTTCTAATGAGTCTCTTGCTCAGGGCTAAAGGCTTTTACACACCGAGACACAACGACGTTCGCATGATCAAGCCAAGAGAAAATTTGGCCCTTTGGAGCTTTGAAGTTTTTGGGTCTTCGTTGTCTCAATTAGTCAATTCTTTCTTCGAGTCTCTATTATCTTCAGTGAAAATATAATAAAAAATAACTTTGAATTCACGTAGTTTGTTTCATTTTATTATTAATCTCTATATTTTTTGGATATTTTAAGTCTTTGTAATTTTGTTTGTCAATGTTTTAAATTCCTCCATGAACAAAATATAAAAACTTTGAAAAGATCTAAAATATTAAAAATTAAAAGTGTAAGGATATAAAACATAAAAAAATAAAATAGGAATCAATAGCAAAATATAAGCAAAATGCAATGACCAAAACTTATGATTTCCCAAAAAAGAAAAAAACTTTTAAGTCCAACTTTAAGATTTTTTAAACTTATTCAAGTTGGCATATTGAATTTGATCTAAATTACTGACTCTACTCTAATATAAAGCTGTAAGTTAAAAGTCCTCTTGGTCTCAGAGTAAGAATTACACTTTGTAGGTACTTTCCCAACTCAACTTAGATTAGTTGGATCCAATGTGACTATCAAATATTGAATGTATTAAAAATATATAAAATTAATTATTTAATTCTTATATTTTTAATTCAATTATTATTTAATTGTAGACTTTAATTTAATACAACCTAATCTTTATAATTTTACTCAATTATAATTTAATTTCTAAACTTTAATTCAGTGTAATTCCAGCATTGTAGTTTTAAGCTTTTAAAACATTAATTTCAAAACTTTGATATTAACTTTAATTTTTATAATTTTATTTTTTAAATTATAAGGAGTAATATTTTAAATCGATAACTGAATTGTAAAAATTGAAATTTAAAAATTAAATTTTAACAAAATAAAAATTATAAAAATTAAGTTGTATTGAATTAAAGTTTAAGTATCAAGATTTAATTGAGTTAAAGTTATAATAATTAAATAATTAATTTAAAAAAATTAGAAGAAAAAGAGACTCACAACAATGTGGTGTGAAAGCGCTCAGATTCCCAAAGTAAAAACAACGGTTATGGTACACAACTTTACATTTATTAGTTATTACACTTTATACAGACGACTTTGACCCTCCAAGTCTTCCACTAGCCTCTGTTAAAAAAAAAAAAAAAAGTCTTCCACTAGCCGAACAAACTTCCAAAATTGCAGTCCCATTGAGGAGCCACACCCAGTCGTCAGCTTCATCCAGAAAATAAAACCAAGTGACCAAAAAATTAGATGTGACATAAATAATAACGCTTGGAATTTTTTAATTATTATCGCAGGGTCTGAGTTTTGAAAGCATGTATGAAGAACATTGTTTGGAAGACAATAACCCCTCATATAGTGTTTAGATTTTTTGATAAATTAATCTTATAGGTATTCATGGTGGGAATATTTTGAGGGAAAAAGAAAAATCAAGTGTATCAGCTTGAATTGAATTCAATTAACACATCAACCCCATTTTTCTCTTTTCTCTTTTCCCTTTTAAATCGATTCCTTGAATTAAGATACTTTCAATCCTTTTTTCCTTTGCATATAACCTTAGTTTGATAATGACGTTGATTCATGGAATTATAAAATTTTTAATCTCTCAAGTTTTAATTATTAATTAATGTTATTAAGTTTCATTTTTATAGATTCTGTCCCTTATATTTTCTCAAATTATCATATCAGTCATTTAAATTTTAAAATACAAATTAACTTTTAAATTAAGTTAATATGAAAAGTATATTAATGACTTGCATCACATATGTAATTAAATAAGAATAAATTAATCTTTAAATAAGTTTAATTTTTATCAATCTAATCCCTTATGTAGCATTTGTTCTTTTGATTTTAAAAATTTTTGAACTTGTTTTTTCTTACCTATATAATTACAGTTTTTTTCATTATGACTATCATAAATGTTTCCTTATTCATGTTAGTAAATTTAAATAATGTTACCTCATTTTTAAAAAATAAAGACAAAATTAATAAAATAAATTTAAAAAATTAAATTAATAAAAATTAAACTTGATGAGCCAAGTTGTTTGACAATTGTAAACTTACAGAGAAAACATACCTAGCATACCTAACGACATCCATGCACTTGTTGAATCTCTACACGAAAGCAGAGTTACTGTGAACTCCGTTCGTACTCATAGCTAATGTCACTCACAGAGAGGAAGAAAGAGAGGACACACTGCACGTATGCTCTGGAAAATGGTTCAGACCATTATCATATAACCTTCACGCATGAAGTAACAGCAGGGCAACGTGTGGATATGGTTGATACGATCGTACTCACCATTTTTCAATTAGTAGGAGAAATTACACTTAAGAATCCGGGTATATTGCATAAAAAAAACTCAAATTTTCTTAATATTTGGACAAAACCCTATTCTATAATTAGGTCTGATCCGCGAAGAGAGGATATAACAACAAGGGATTCATTATCCCTTTATTCATTCATTCATTCCAAAGCGCGTTCACAAAACGCTTAACCTCAAAGCGTTAAAATCTATTTTGCCAGCAAACTTTGAAAATCACCTCTTTGACCTTTGTCCTCTTGTTGTTTTCTCGAAAGCCGCTTCTATGTTCGTGAATCTTGACCAATTCTTCAAAGCCATGAAAAGCTACCATGTACAACCTTTATCCCTTTCACAAGGCAGCCACAACCACTCAAATTTCTCAGCTTAATTATGAAAGCCACATGCATCAATTCGCCTCCTGGTCCACCCTACGGCTATATTGCTGTCCAGACATTGATTTTCAACATATCCTTTTTCTTGACCCTCATTAACGTGAATATCTAACCTGTGTCAGTGTCACTGTCTTTAATTATAAAGTTGTCACGAATTTCTCGACCCGGTAACAACAATTTTCTTGACTTTATTGGCGCCATAGTAGTCAGGGCTATGCTTACAAGGTTTTTGTTGTTATGCTAATTTAATATTAGGGGATTGTCGTTATTGTTTGTGTTAATAATCATGAGGGAAGAAATGCCGCGGATAGAGAGAAAATTATGAGGGAAAAGGGAAGAAAATGCACTCACCTTGTGCTGGAGAAGCATCAACACCGTGCTTTAATGGCTGTTTTTCATCTTCTTTTCTTGCTTCTGAGGAGTCTCATACTGATACATCTGTGAATGGAAGCAGATCAGGCTATGATTTTGTTGCAGCTACTTGTTCAACTCTTCATCCAAATGCTCAGTTCACTAACCATGAGGCTCTTCCTTCTCTGCAAGAGTCATATTTGAACTTCACAAAAGCTTTTCCTCTATATTCCAAAACCCTTAAGGCTGATCAGATTAGAGACCAAGAGTATTATCACTTGAATTTCTCTAACCTCTGTTTTGATTATACTGGAAATGGCCTTTTCTCTTATGCTCAGCGGCAACGGTCCTGCCCAGGAACTTCAATCGCTTCTTCCTCTTCATCTCATCCTCCTCCATTAATTCCTTTAGAACCTCCATTCTTTGATATTTCTTACAAGTCTGTGAATTTGCATTCCCAGGTAGTTTACGGTGGTGATGAATCAGAACTAGAGACCAGAATCAGAGAAAGAATTTTGGCATTTATGAATTTCTCTGAAGATGATTACGCTCTCGTATTCACTGCCAATCAGATATGTGCTTTCAAGCTTCTAGCTGATTCCTTCCAATTCACACCTAATGGAAACCTCCTCACAGTTTATGATCACAAAAGTGATTCATTAGATGAGATGATCAAGAGCTGTTACAAGCAAGGAACACATGTTCTGTCAGCAGAATTCTCATGGCCCGATCTTCGGATCAACATGAAGAAACTAAGGAAGATGATTATGAGCAATAGGGATAAGAAAAAAAGAGGCCTTTTTGTATTCCCAGTTCACTCCAGAGTTACTGGATCACCATATTCATACATGTGGATGTCCGTGGCTCAAGAAAATGGTTGGCATGTGTTGCTTGATGCTTGTGCATTAGCACCTAAAGAAATGGACACTTTAGGTCTATCTCTGTTCAAACCTGACTTTCTTATTTGTTCATTTTACAAAGTTTTTGGAGATAACCCTTCTGGGTTTGGCTGCTTATTTGTCAAGAAATCTAGCATCTCTGCTTTAAACGATTCACCAAGTGCCACCAGCATCGGAATTGTGAGTCTCATCCCAGCATTGAGAAAACCAGAATCCATTTCTGATGAAGAAGAATCTGAGCCCGAACCCCAATCAGAGCCCAAATCAAGCAAAAAGGTTGAAACTTGTGGCAGATTAGAAGTGGAATTGAGAGGATTGAATCATGCAGACGAAGTTGGGCTAATAGGGATCAGCAGTAGAGGAAGGTATCTGGTGAACTGGGTAATCCGTGCACTGATGAGTCTGCAGCATCCAAACTCAGAAACAGGGTCTTCTTTGATAAAGATCTATGGATCGAAGATAAACTCTCACAGAGGGCATTCGATTGCATTCAATGTGTTTGACTGGAAAGGAGAGAAGATTAATCCGTTGCTTGTGCAGAAACTAGCTGATCGGAACAACATATCTTTGAGTAATGCGATTTTGCAGAACGTGAAGATGAATGAACGAGACTGGTGTGAAGTGGAAGGTGCGGGCCAACTAAGGAAGAAGACGATGACGACGAAACAGGATTGTGGGATATCAGTTTTGACGGCTTCACTAAATTTCTTGACAAATTTTGAAGATGTGTACAAGCTCTGGTCGTTTATTTCCAGGTTCTTGGATGCAGATTTTGTAGAGAAGGAGAGATGGAGGTATATCGCCCTCAATCAAGAGACCCTTGAGGTTTGAACAGTATATTGTTTTGTATGAGATCTCACTATAAACGAATTTTTGACAAGAATGTGAGATTTCAATAAAATTTAGTTAGTACATTCAATTCCAATTGCATGAGACTGTATGACGGGAAGGCTGTCTTGTTCTTGAAAAAATCATTCTTTTTATTTAATATATCCTTTTAAAATATTCTTTTTAGTTATATTTAGGATAAATTTATTCACTGGTCAAAAAAAATGTTGTGCACAGAAAATATGAACTAATTTTTTTAAAATTTAAAAATATGACCATTTTACATTGATATAGAAAAGATTTATTATTAAAAATTTATAAGAAACTAGTGTTCCACCTTGTGCAATGCATGAAAAATTTACCTATCTTATGAACTCTTATAAATGATCAATATTTTAATGTGGCTCATAATTTTTTTTGTGATAAACTTGAAGCATAGCTTTGCTCAAAAAAGATAAACTTGGGGTAATCATTAGTAATATCGATTATACAATTAAGAATTATGGAGATATATTATATAGAAGATGATGATGAGTTGGTGATTTAATGGACATCATAACACAATACTTACTGGAAACCAGTTTAACAGATTTTAATTGAGTCAAACATAGATTTCACTAATTCATAAGGAGGAGCACAATATCTATGAACCAAACAAATAATTTTCCTTTTGCTGAATATGATAGTAAAATCTGTCTCAAATACCACTCAAAGCTTATCATTTCAAATAATTTTCCTTTTGTTGATAGGGTCTTGGAGATTGTTCTTCCTTATGCAAGCCCATAGGCGGTTCACAATCTAAATACAACCATTTCATTAATTAGTAATTTTGATAGAAACATATAAAAATGAACAAATCGATGACAAACTTCAAAAGTATCAATATGAACATTAGTCCTTGTCAACATTGGCGCGCCAACAATAACATGCAGTTTAGGGGAAACACCGAAACACCACAAAGTTTGTTAAGACATTTGGGGCCGCCTCTTCTCTTTGCTTTAGTTTTTGTGTTGCAACAAAGAACACATCACTTATAAACCAGTCAATCATAAAAGTTCATGTTTGAACAATATATGACAAATAATGTTAGAAGATAATTTTTTATATGCGTTTTATAGATAAGAAGAAATGATTTTCAAGAGAAAAGGAAAAACTAATACAAGTGACAACAGAAACATTCGAGCCATGATAACCTTTGTTTTATTTTCAATAGTTATCCTAGCAATTATCCCCTTAATTTATTCAAAAGTGGAAGTGCATCACTCCTTTCATAGTAGCCACGAAATAAAAACAACTATTACCTTAATCACATCATTGCTGTTCAACATCATTGTTTGCAATGTTATAACTATCGAAGACCCGTCCAAATCCAACGTAATTCCAAATTATAAGATCAATTTTAAAAGGCCATACACAAAAATCCCAAACAAATAGTTATGCTTTATCCAAATCTTCAACTGCAGTCAACAACACAGGTTCTAAAGTAGTGAATAAAGCCACCAAAGCATAAGCAATAGAGTGTATGCCATTATTCCATTCTGAATCCATAAAATTTGGAATAACAACAGGTATAGATAGAAAAGACATACCACATAGGAGACGGTGGAACCTCTAACAGCATTGAAGGACGGAAAAGATCCTTCATCACCCCATTCTCATACCTAAGCAGCAGCACTTTCACTGACTTTGTACTAGACATCAAATTATGTCTTCAATTCTTATTTCATCTTTTCTGATTTTGAATCAAACATCGAAGCATCCTCAAATCCAGGTTGTATCAGCTACAATTCTTCCATCTTCATTCTTCGTGTATAAGAATGAGACAAAATATGCACATAATTAATAACTGCTTTATTCATCATTATTATATTGCGCACTGATAAATCATATATTTTACACACTTTTGTTTTATATTTTTGATCATATTTTATTTATTTAAACCCTTATGTGAATGGTTTTAACATTGAATTTAATCATTGGCTCATGTGCAATGAGTTTTAGCATTAAGGGTATTTTAGTCATTGTGCTTATTTTATTGAAATTAATTGTTTTTAATTTAGAATTTCAATTCCTTAGAACATTTTATTAATTGAAAAAATTTTATTTTTATTTTTAAGATTTTTATTTGGTTCAATTTCATTAGATTGATTTGGTTTTGTTTGTTTTGTCTTTTAAAAAACTTAAAGGGCAATTTAATCATTTTGTTTTTTAAATGAGAATTAGGTGCTGCAGAATGGAAAAAAGAATTGGGGGCTGAAATAATAAAAAGTAAAAAAGAAACAGAAGCTCGTGCACGTGATCGTCTTCTCGTTTTGAACTGAATGTAGAATATCGCTCATAATCTTTCCTCGGTCGCACAGCTTCAACGCACGTAAGCATTCATCTCATTCATCTCAGTCCGAGTTCGGTCACCGCTAGACAAATGATCACTCATCTCCTCACATCTTCCTCTGGGTTCAGAGTTCGTGGCACACAGATTGCACAGCCACCACACGCCAGAGACACCAACGCTTATCTTCATCCTTCGCTCAGTTTCAAAGTTCATTCGCACATCATCTTCTTCAGTTTTAGTTTATCTTGTTGCATACAGGATCGATCATCCCCTCTCGAGCAGAGGTTCAATGCTCACGCACAGAGTCGCACACCAACGTAAATTCTCCTCTCGGTTTAAGTTTAGTCGCACACCATTCACAGACTCATTCCTTCAAGCATTCATCCATGGCAGCTCCTTGTGGATCTCTTCTTCATTCAGTAGCTATGGAGAGTGAGATGAGAGGCTAAATCTTCAAGGATTCACCAAGAAGATGAAATTCCAATTCAGCTTTTGATTAGAGACTTTGGTTCTGTATAGCTCAAATTTGATTCTAGTTTATTGTTTTGGTTTTGAATTTAGTTCATTGATTCTGGTTAAATTGATTGAATTAATTTGATGTCTTGTTGAGGATCAAATTGCTTTAGTTTATTTTTTTCACTGAATTTGTGCACTTCAAATGTTTGAGTTTATGTTTTAATGGTTATCACTTGCTGAATTCAAATTTTTCTTGATTCTTGCTTGATATTTTTGATTCATTCAACTTCTATTAGGTCTTAATGAGAAGTTGATTATCCAGATTCAATTGTTCTACGTGTTAGAGTGAGGTTTAGCAAGGAACAAATTCAATGAGATTTATTTTATCAAAGCTTGGCAACTGTTCAAAGGTTATGTGTCTTAGTCTAAGCCACATTTACTTAGTCTTAGTGGTCACTAGGCTTTTATTTTGTCAATTGAGTAGGGACTGAACTCATTAAATTAAGGAGTTTAGGATAGTGGAATGGATTCAAAACTTGGAGAATTCACTCATTTGCTTGTTCAATTCAATTTTATTTCTTCTCATTCTCACTTAAAATTCAAAAAACCAAAAATACTTATCTTCTTGATTTTTGTCAAACCAATATTGATTTTAAGTTGTAGAGGGTTTATGAATTGAACTTGTTTGCTTAACTTGCTCTCTTGGGATTAGAATGACCTAGGATGTACTCAATTACATTCTATTTTTTTGAGAAGTTTGATACAACTTATGCCTTTTCAAGTGGCAATGTTTCAAGGAAGCAATATCGCCAATTAATTTTAATTCATTTACCATTGTTTTAATTTGTTTTTCTTTGATTTTTCACTATCTTGTGTAGATTTTCAGATCTAAAACCAAGCTGAACATTGTTGTTGTTAGCTCAAAATTTGTCCTAACTTTAAAATTGAATTAGGAACAAATGAAAAGGAGTTTGTACTTGGGACTAGATCTGTTAAAAAGCTATACATCTTAACTTTGATTCCACGCTAGGAGTGCAAATTTTGGACCTAGGAGATTTACTGTACATCTGTTGCAAGGCAATAAGGTTCTAAAAATCTATTACAAAAATCTAGAATTTTGTGTCATCTTTAAGTGCACACAAATTTCACTCTACTTGTCTAATTTGCTTGATTCTTTTCTCATTTCATTCAATATGTTTGGCTCATCTTCTGATTTTTCCATTAACTTGGTGAAAAGACTGATAAATTCTGACAAGTTATTCTAGGGGTAGTCTTGAATCTCCAAAATTTTTAACTTACTTATGTGAATTTCTGGGAGCAACTAAGAGGGAATTTTGATCTAAAACTTTTGTATTCATCTTGTCTATTTTAGGTAAAAAGTTCAGAGGAATTTGACATAGGATTTAGCTTTTGTGCTGCTCACAATCTTACTAGCTCTAGATTGATATTTGTTGTCAGTTTAGAAAAGTGGACCAATATTGAACGAGCTTTTTCACTTCCTACTCATCCAAATTGCATGATTTTTGTTTCTAAATTTTCTTTCACATCTTAGCTGCATTTTCTACGTTTATAGTTTTTCCTAATTCTTTCATTTTCATTTTTGAAAATAAGGAGAAAAATTCTGCTGCTGTTGTGTTTTGTTTTGCTTTCAGATTTTCAGATTTGTATGTTTTTTGACTTTTTAAGTGTTTTTTTTAGCTATTTTAGCTTATCTTAGAGTATTTCATGTCCAGTAACTCTTGTTTAAAAATTGAGAAAGAATTTATTGACTTTAAAACTCAATACATCATTGCTTCTTCCTTCACTTTTTCATAGATAAATCTTTTGTTTTAGAAAGTATGGCAAACAATGGTGCAAATAATAATAGATATGTGCATAATCATAAGGCAGTAATTCCTATTAAAGGAAGTTTTAGAGGAATGTCTAGACCTAAATATGCAGTTAGAGCATGTGACTTGAATGTGAACTTGCAAAAAAATGTTAACTGTGAAACCAAGCCTTCTCTAATCAATGCCTTACCCCTAGTTTAGATTTAATCATTCGATGCAGGCTCTAATGTTGAAGTAGGCTTCTTGGATCTTTTTAGAGTTCTAAACCTCTTGGATGACCGAGAAGGTGATTTACTTCCTTCTCTAATAAGAGCTTTAATGAATTTCCTCTTCCTTGTTACCTCCTTACTGGTTCTCTTTCTAGTCTCCTTTGTTCTTGTCATCACAGTGATTTTGAGAGAAAAGATGAATTTAGGTTGAAGAAAGAGATCAAATCAGAGTGAAGTGAGGAACAAAAAGTAGATTAGAAAAGATAGGTAAATCAATTCGAGTGCCAAAACGGCTAAAGAAGAATTAGGGAGGCAGTTAAGAAAGAAAGATAGAGTAACAACTAGAAAAAG